CTTAGTTTTCTAACATTCATATTTTGGACATACTTGAAATTTAGCCTAAGTGTATTTTTTTTTGAAACAAAGTCTCACTATTTCACCCTTGGTAGAGTGCCTTGGCATCACAGCTCACAGCAACCTCAAACTCTTGGGCTTAAGCGATTCTCTTGCCTCAGCCTTCCAAGTAACTGGGACTACAGGCGCCTGCCACAACGCCTGGCTATTTTTTTGTTGTAATTGTCATTGTTGTTTGGCAGGCCCAGGCTGGGTTCAAACCTGCCAGCTCCAGTGTATGTGGCTGGCTCCCTAGTGACTGAACTACAGGTGCTGAGCCAGGGATACCACTTTCATCCCAATCTTATGTGGTGCATTGCTTTAAAGTGTAGAAATCTTTGGGATGCTAAACAAAAGGACAATTGAAAATATTAGTGTTTACAAAGTTTTCCTTAATCCAGGAAACTGAACTCCATTCTAAGGCTTTCTGAACTTATCTCTTTCATATTTCTGTTAAGAGGGAAACAGATGGGTAGCACCCATGGCTCCGTGGATAGGACGCCGGCCGTATACAACAAGCCCAAGCCAGCTAAAACAACAATGACAACTGCAACAACAATAGCAACAACAAAATAGGTGGGCATTGTGGCAGGCACCTGTAGTTCCAGCTACTTGGGAGGCCTCTGAGGCAAGAGAATCACTTATGGAAGAGTTTGAGATTGCTATGAGCTATGGATGCAATGGCACTTTATGGAGGGTGACATAGTGAGACTCTGTCTCAAAAAAATAAAAGAAAGAGGGAAACAGCTATAATTGGGGTTGTCGAGATGTTTTTAAGTTCAGGAGTGGGATAGTTGTCCTTGAAGCATATAGTAATATGTTTATTAAAGTTGAAAAATGAGGTCATACTTTTTAAAATGAAAAAAGTCTGATTTAGTCATTTGCTTTGACATCTAGGACTTTCCTAATTAGATCATCTGGTGGACATGCTCATAAATGAGTTAAATCTGTTCGTTTCAAGTTTTGACAAAAGTATATTTAAAGCATGTGATAAGATAAAAAATCATATTAAATAAATGTGAGCAGTGATGTAAAGTTAGCAATATTTTATTTATATCAGCCTTCTTTTGGGTAAAACAGGTTCCTTATGCAGATTATTTGAGGACGGTTCTGCTTATCTGTGGTGTCAGATATCAAAAGTATGCATGGACCTATTTTTTTGTGTTCATCAGCTTTTGTTAATGTGTTTGTATTTAATGTGTGACCCAAGGTAACTCTTATTCTTCCCATGTGTGGAAGAAAAGAAAAAAGGTTGGATGCCCTGGCTTTTGGTAAAAGTAATTTATGTAAGAATAACCCATATAAATATTAATAAATAATAAAGCCTTTTTGATATCCTCAAAAATCAAGAAAGGGAATGGTTCTAACAATTAGATAACATATCCTTTAGCAATTTAGGTTTTCAGTTCTTTGCTTTAAACAAAATTGAAAGAGGACCTAATTTGTCAGCCAATAGATCATTAAAATAAATTTTGCTGTCAGCTTACCATGTGATTTTTGGCATTTAACTTGGGGAGAGGTCGAAGAATTGAGTGACATTTCTTTTTTCTTTTCTTTTCTTTTTTTCTTTTTTGAGACAGCGTCTCACTTTGTTGCCCTTAAGAGTGCTGTGGCATCATAGCTCACAGCCACAGGTGTGAGCCACTGTGCCCAGCCCTGAGTGACATTTCTATAACCAACTTTTTCCATTCTAAGATAATAGGTAGTATTTACATGAATAAGGTTCTCAGCACTTAAAATCTATTATTAGAAAGGAGAGAATTGATTTTGAGCCATGTCTCATTCTAATAATATATAATACTATCAGAATTTAAGTACCAATTGGTAAGCTCCATCTCATTAAAAATGCATTTTATTGAAAATATCTTTTTAAGCTTATTACCTGTAAAATGTGTAATAAATTTATGTAGCTTGATCACCTGTATTTATAAGAATTATACTAGAAACTCCATCCAGGAGAACTTTTTTATTTCTTAGAGATTCATGGTCACAGGAAATTTTTAAAATATTAAGTACAGTTTATTTATAAAACTGCTACAGAAAAGTATTCCAGGGTAATCAACAAAGTACATTAAAGCATTAAAAATATACATTTACATAAAATTTTGCAGGAAAGATGGAATGGAAGTATGAGTTGAAGATGAAAAATCAGGAAAATTTTCCAACTGGCAAAGAAGAGTTTTATCTAAAAATGTCAGGGCTTGGAATTGTATAATTTACAACTATTTAAACTTGGAATTATATAGTTCACAACTACAGTACTTAAACTTTTGGTGAAAAAAATTTTATTGACTTTAAAATGAGATGGAAAGGGCATACATCATTTCCAACGAAATGAGAAAGCTTGAAGACCACTGATGGAATAGTACTTGACCTCCAGAAAATGGGCTCATGTGGAGAATATCAAATGATAACAGGCACTTCTAAAATCCTTTTTGCCAAGTGTAGCGCAGTTTTACTTAAGTAAGTTGAAGGCACACTCCCTGTGGGCCTGTAGTGATGTGCTTCCCTGCGGATGAGTGATACAGAGCAGGAGAAGAAAAGCATCTTTGAACACATGAGTGACTAGTGAGTAGAAGTTTTGAATCCTTAACTTGTCGAACACAAGGTCTGTCTCACGTGTATGGGGAAGGAGACATGTGTAATAATGTGCAATGAACAGTAGCAATCAACATCCAGACGTACTTTCTGGAACTGTTTGTGTTCTGGTATCAGGACTTGTGGTGGGGTTGGCGGCAGGCAGGTTGGGACCCTAGCCGCATTTTTGTTCAGCCTGCAGGGTCTACTCTGGTCTCACGCCACTCTTCTCTCTCTCTCCTCCCCCTCCCCGCACCCCGCAGTCACTGCTCAGCATCCCGGGCTCGCCCTTCCTCTCCCGCCACAACAGCAAAAGCAGCATCTTCAGTTTCCGGGGCCCTGGGCGGTTCCGAGACCCGGGCTCAGAGAACGAGTTCGCAGACGACGAGCACAGCACGGTGGAGGAGAGCGAGGGCCGCCGGGACTCCCTCTTCATCCCCATCCGGGCCCGCGAGCGCCGCAGCAGCTACAGCGGCTACAGCGGCTACAGCCAGGGCAGCCGCTCGTCGCGTATCTTCCCCAGTCTGCGGCGCAGCGTGAAGCGCAACAGCACGGTGGACTGCAACGGCGTGGTGTCCCTCATCGGCGGCCCCGGCTCCCACATCGGCGGGCGTCTCCTGCCAGAGGTGAAAATAGATAAGGCAGCTACCGATGACAGTGTAAGGAAGTACACAAACAGATCGAGGCGAGGCATGGCATTCTCTCCCGCTCCCTGCCCCTCTCCTTCCCCTGCTCTGCCCATTCCACTTGGTCTTTGGCCCCTACTCTTGTTAGTAACCTAGCCATTTCTGTTTTCTCCCTCTTGGTTTGTTTCTAGGTTCTCTTTTCAACCCTCCCCTGTAACAGGTCTTGTATTTTCCTTTCCCTTTTCCGATTTCCCCCATCTTCCTTCCTTGTTCCTGTCTCTCCTCCTCCCATTAAACACCCTCCTTTATTTCACCTTTTTCTTTCTCTCCATCTTTGCAAGTCTGTTTGCCCATGTTTCCTTCCCCCATCTGCTTTGACTGAATGCCTCTGGCCAGGTGAGCCTGCCCGGATGGAATGAGAATGCCACCACCGTGCCACGACTAATGACCAAGTCTGAGCGGGTTTGGAACTACCATTGCTTCTCTTCCTCCACTTCCTCTCCCCTCTTAGGGAAACAGCTTGGAATTTAAATATCTTATTCTTTCTATTTTAAGAAGGTAATATAGTTTTGAATAATTTTCTAAGTCTGTTCTGAAAGAACAAGGCATGATTTTTCCAAAGAGGAATGTTCATACATGATGTCAGGGTGGGTGGTGCATACCAGGAGAGCCAGGCAAGCAGAGGTGAAGGAAACCAGTAGGAAACTGGACCCAGGCTTTTAAAGGGGGTTGAAATGAAAGTAAATCGAAGGAGGAAAAAGTGGGAGGTTGGGGTAAGAACACATGGTGTATGGGGGAGGAAAGGAAGGGGAGCAAAAGATGAATTTTAAATGTAATCAAATGCCAGGTTCTGGAGGAGTTGCATATAATAGCTTCATGAAATCACTTGTCTAGGAGTTTGAATAAGGGTACCCCTCTTTGAAAAAAGCCATCTCTTATTTCTTTAAATTCTAAGCTGTTTATACCTTTTTTTAAGTTTTAAATTCTTATAACCTCAATGATTCTAATCCTTCCCACCTCTAATTCCTTTACTTCCCTCAGTCCCTCCTTAGCTGATATAAGCTCCTTGAGATAGCATGTCAGTCCGTTTTGTTCTAACACTTCAGTTTCCTCTAACACAGCATGAATATAGCCAAACCTTTAATTAGCATGATGCATGTGTGGAGGAAAACTGGATAATCATGGGTGAAACTTTTCAAAAAGTTCTGTTTTCATAAAACATTTTAGGTCAGTTAGTACTTGTATAGATAAAATTTTCAAAAGGCAGTTTGTGTTGGAGATTGTCTCATTTCTCCCAGCCCTTTTATTTAAAAGCAAAATTCTTTCCCCCTTATGTGTCTATAGCTTTTTCTAAGCTGCACATTACTTTTACTTGAATTATTTGATTTGTTCTAAATAAAATTCTGGAAGAGGCACAAGCTCAGAGAATTTATCAGAGCTCATCAGTGATAGAGTCAGAATATTAGATACTTCAGAATCATCTTCTATCTCCCAGTCAGCATCTTCCCTGTGTACTCATTTGGCCATTGCCCTTCTGGAGACCTGTTTATTCAAGATTAACAGGGATAAGAACAATAATAATAAGCAGGCAGGGCTCAGGGGCTCACACCTGTAATCCTACCTCTCTAGGAGGCTGAGATGGGAGGAGAGCTTGAGATCAGGATTTCAGTACCAGTCTGAGCAAGAGTGAGACTCCATCTCTACTAAAAATAGAAAAAATTATCCAGACGTGGTGTCTCAGACCTATACTTCCAGCTACTCAGGAGGCTGAAGCAGAATTATTTGATCCCAGGAGTTAGAAGTTGCAGTGACCAAGATTTTGCCACTGCATTTGAGCCAGGCAATGGAGTAGGACTGTGTCTCAGAAAATAAAAATAAAAATAAAGTAATATAATAAACAGTGGCCCCAAAGTGACCAGAGAATTGGCTAAAATGAATGTTGTAGGTACTTATTTTTACATGTAATTTTTATTTTATTTTCATTAATTCTGTGTCTGGAGGTAAGTTTTGGACTCTACAACTAAATAATTATATTTTCTGAAAAAATAAGAGATAATGTCAGTGGAGAATGGGAGGGGATTGGCATGGTTGGTGTGGCTAGGACAATACACATGTTTGGAAATCAGATTTTGATGTCCTAGCAATTTAAAAAAAATATTTAAACCAAATAATACAGTTTGCTTTTTTTCTGAAGAGAAGATATTAGAGAAGGTAAGAGTTCAGGTATAAGGAGCTTGAATTTCAGTTTAAGGCAGATGATTAGGTTTGGGGGGTTTGCTTTGGTTTTTAGCAGCTTTTGTTGTATGTGGGAGAAAAAAATTCAGAGTCAATAGAGCATTATGGCTGTGGAGTGTAAGGCTTTCTGTATCACCTTACACTGTGGTCTGCAGAGATCCACCTTGAGTTTTTGGGAGGAGCATGCATACCCAAAGGATTCTCTGCTGTGGTCCCAAGTAATGATGGTAACAGACTTGAGGATTCCCAAAGCCAGGACACCAGATCTCAAAGTGGCAGGAGGATGAGGTGGGCAAGCCTCTTTCTCAAGGGTTTCACAACTAGAAAAAGCTATTTTATTTTATTAGAAGCCAGAAAGAATTGTTATTTCTAATAACTGTTAATGGTGTAGGAAAATGTCTAAATTGCATTAGTAGGCCAAAAAGAACAAAACAAGAATCCATATATAATAGTTTCTATGGTGTGATATCAAATCTATATAAAGATAAATTACATGGAGGAAAAAGAGAGCTGGCTAAACGTTAACAGTAGTTGCCTTAGAGAAGAGAAATTATTGGTCACTTTTTTCCTTCTTTAACTTTTCTATTCTTTCTAGTTTGCTACAATGAGCACAATAATTATAGCTACCATATATTGAGTCCTTATTATACTTTGCAGAGTACTTTATATACATGATCTCATTTAATTCTTATAATCACTCTATTTGCTAGGGGGTTATATCCTATTAACAGGTAGGATTCAAAGAAATACATGGAACCTCTGTAAGTTGACCATCCAAGGTCAACATACGGAAGTGGTCAACATAAGGAACTAGGCCTACTGTACTGATAAGTACAGGTGTGCATGTCCGGTCCATAGAAATTAAGTCAACCTAAGAGGATGGTCAGTGTAGGGAGGTGGTCAACCACAGAGGTTCTAATGTATTTAGTGACTTGGTACAATAGAACTTTTTTTTTTTTTTTTGGAGACAGAGCCTCAAGCTATCTCCCTGGGTAGAGTGCTGTGGCATTACAGCTCACAGCAACATCTAACTCCTGGGCTGAAGCAAGTCTCCTGCTTCAGCCTCCCAAGTAGCTGGGACCACAGGCACCCGCCACAACACCTGGCTATTTTTTAGTTGCAGCTGTTGTTGTTTTGGCAGGTCTGGGCTGGATCGTACCCACCACCTTAGGTATATGTGGCTGGTGCCTTAGCCACTTGAGCCACAGGCGCCAAACCACAATAGAACTTTTAAACCAAGGTCTCTTTGATGCCAAAAATAACTTCCTGGTGGCTTAAATATTAGTACCTTCAAAAAACGGGGAAAATAATCATTTATCTTAACAAAACAAATATATTAATCCTTTTATATTTATTTGATATTGTAAAATTGAATTACAAAATTTAAGAGATATTAATTACTCATCTGGCAGCCCAGGCCAGATGAAAATTAATACCTCTTTGAGCTAGGATATAGTGATCTTAACTATCAGACATTCTGGATGCCTCCACAGCCGCAAATAGTTATGAAACCCAGAGCCATTAGATGCTTCCAATTATATATACTCTTCCTTCATGGCATAGTATAGAACCCGCTAATGGTTTACAAACTGGTCTCACTAAGTTTTCATGTGTAGCTATATCATATCTGTATTTTTCTTCCTTCAGGCTTAAATTAAGAAATATAATAGACTGTAAGAAAAAAAGGCATCCAGACATCACCTCAGTAGAGTGTCATCAAAAACTATTGCACATCTTTATTAATTATTCAGTTGTGATTAAGTGATGACGATTGTTTGATAACTTGGGAATTTCTACTTTTGCTTTTTGCTGAAGGGACTTTTCCCTGTGTCTCCATCACTAGGCTGGGAAAGCAGGTGAGGGTCATCGCTCTTCACTCATAAAGCAAGTGCCCTGGCAATCCAGAAATCACATGTAATTCAGAAATCATGTTGCAGTAGTAGCTTGTACATGTACAAGCATTATCTCACTTAATGCTCAAAGCCCTTGCACTGTGAGATAGATACTGCTGTTACCTGCTTTTTATTGAGGAGGAAGCCAAGGCTTAGCAGGGGTGTCCAGCTTTTTTTTTTTCTCTTCTACTCTTTGAAAGAAGAGTTGTCTTAGGCCACACAAACACTAAAGAGAGCTGATTAGCAAAAAAATGGTTTGTGCATACTTTTTGTGATACCTGACACCATAGATAAGCAAGGAAGTCCCCACAAAATCAGCATGTGACCTGTGAGCTGCAGGTTGGACGCCCCTGACTTAGAGGAATAAAGTAACTTGTCCAGGATTGGACAATTAACAATAGAGTTAGAATTTGAATTCAAGCAGTGTAACTCCACAGCTTTAACCATTAGCCATTACACTATACTAACTCAAAAGCCCAAGTTCTTTATTTACTAATGTGATCCTGGGAAATTAACCTCTCTGAGCCCATTTTAATCTTTTCTGTAGAAAAGAGATAAAATGACCTCTGTTATGGGACTCTTGTAAAAATTAAACATGATAACATAAAATGTGAAGCATATTTTGTGGCCTATTCTTGATGTTCAGAAAGTCACTTTCTTTTCCTTTGCTTATACTTTCTTGACCTTTTTAGCCCTGAGGAATAGACTGTACTAAATTACTTGATTTGGTTCCATCTGAGATTCTACAGATCCTTTGTTTCAAAAGGAGGAATTATTGTACAATTATTTTAAAGCAAAACACTACAAAAATTTAAGAAAGGCTTAAATAGTGGTTTGATTAATGGCTGGTTTGTAAGAACACATAAAATGCTATAAATTTTAGTTCCAAGAACGGTGACCGGTAAA